TAACAGGTGTTCAGATACTTTGACTTTTTACCTTCAACACTTCTGTACGTTTTCAACTAGTATCTAATATAACAGGTGTTCAGATACTTTGACTTATTACCTTCAACACTTCTGTACGTTATCAACTAATATCAAATATAACAGGTGTTCAGATACTTTGACTTTTTACCTTCAACACTTCTGTACGTTTTCAACTAGTATCTAATATAACAGGTGTTCAGATACTTTGCTATTGAAATTGGTAAAATTTGTCCAATTTTTGTTAATTGTAAAATTGAACATTTTTCTGTCAGAGGTTGTCAATTACTTTATTTGAGCTCGAAAGTATAATCTCCATAAAATCTTTGATAACGATTTAAAGAATACTGTTCTCATCTTTTAATCTATTTATATACTTTACTTGTCTGTCTGTCTGTTTGTATTCAATTGATGTCAAAACGGCTCAACCGATCGGGTCCAAATTTAGTGTGGGACTTCACATGTCTCCAGGACAGGTTTCTAGATGATCAAAATTTCAAAAATTTGCCTCCAACAAAATTCGATTTTCATTAGAATTAAGTCCACGAATGTGTTTATAAAATCCGCGAACTTTTTGTTTGTTTTTGTTTTACAATGTATACAAAGAGAAAATGTTCATAATTGAAATAGAAGATGGGCGCGAAGTGCGCTAAAAGCCAAGTATGAATATACTTAGTTTTAATTATGAATTAAATTAAAATTATCGTAACAGGAGATCTTCTTGACGAGGGAAGCGAGGCGACTGATGATGAATACAAAGACTACGCTAAAAGGTAAAACAAAATTTATTCAAATCATTAATCTAGCATTAGTGACAATACTAAATCAAGCATTAGTGACAATACTAAATCAATAATGATGTGAGGTCCTACTATTCGTAACCTATATTTATATTAATTGGAAAATTTTGGTTTATTTAAAAAGAATTATACGATTGCATTTGGCTTTTGTGAAAAAAATCATTTTGTCTCTATTTTTCATTTTTAGGAGGTATAAATTGTAAATACAGATTTGTTAAAAAGTATTAATTAGCTGATACTTCTTGAGGTTCTTTAACGTGTTTCCTCCTCTCTCTACGGCGGAGAGAATATTTACTCCTGGAGATAATGATGTAGGAGGAGAGGGTGGAGATCTCATCACTTTGAAGAAACTAGACAGATTCCGTCATAATTTCGGGGCTAATAAACTCTTCTATTCACCTTGCTCTTTCCTTGGTGAGTCATTCAAACTAAGTTTATTTTATTTTTCAATTTCAAATGGCTCGTTAGTGCACTGAGCTAAAAACTTTAGAATGGGATATCCTTAATCCCGATCGGTCAATTAATACAGAGCCCGCGATTTAATGCTTCGGCTCGGGTCGTATTTTCTTGAATTTTTTTAATCGCCGGGTCTGGAGATTAATAACAAGAGGAGAACAAGCATCATTTAATTTGGAGATTAAGATAAAGAGGTGATCAAGCATTGATCTCGATATCCACCATTATAAAGTTTTCAGCTCTGAAAATTAACAGATTCTTGGATTGATTTGTATTGAGTTCCATTGGCGTAAAGATTTTTGAGAGAGTTACGATGATTAGTTGAAATTACTAAAATTTTAATCTATTTAATTAGATTGATTGATTGATTAATATATTTTTTTAATCTAGATGTATTCCCTGTAAGCAGATTGACAGAGCATGGCTCGCTAAACATAACTTCAAAGATTGAACATTTGACGAGGAAAAAAACAGGTAGTTAAAACTGGGGAAAGGACAAGTTCTTGTGACACGGTTTGTTTGTATGTCCGATCCAAACTCATGATAAAACATGTCTTTATCGATTTTTATAGAATTTTTATTGGAGAACTTATTCGAACCAGGGCCGGGGAATGTTTTCAGCTTGGTTGGAAAATTCTAAGTTAAGTAGGATGACATCAATTGAGCAAGTTAAGGTTTCAAGGCAGCGTTGGGTTCCGAAGCTAGTTTTTAATGCTCTTAATTTACCCACTAGTTCATCGCAAATAGATTCTAGTACAATAGATGGCAACGAAGAATTTGTACACTCTCAGTACAGCTGTATTCTGACGTCACAAGGGTCAATTCAGTTTTTGTGTCCCAACAAAATTATTATTAATAGTGATAATTTAAGAATAAAGTGCTTATCCTACAGTAAATAAGTGCAATTATATTTGTTCTTTATTTCCTGTTTTGACACTTTTTATTGAATTTTGGAAAACGTGCCAACTAAAATTTCGTTTTCCTTGTTATATTTGACACTTGTGACGTCGTGCATGATATTTCTCTGTTGTACTTGATAATCTAGTTGGTTAATAGTTGTTACACTTAACAAATATTAATTAAATTCGTGTAATGTAACTAAATTGCGAGATTTGTGTAATTTGTTAAATATGTGTCAGCCATCTTGTTTTAGTTGTTGTGATAAGCCACGTGCCTGTTCTTCCCTTGAATGGAAGGTTTGCTGAACGAGTAATGACAGATTTGAATCCAGATATTATATTCTCAGCACATGATCATAGGTAGGGATGGACATACTTCTCTTTAAGAATTGTTGACGCAATTTTCAAGTGATCTTCCATTTAAAAAGTTGGCATTGCAATACTGCAGTAGCTTTAAATCCATTATCTGAGCAACAGTGAGGAAGATATTGTGGATTTTTTGTCAGGGAAAGTGTTAAATTCTGACTATTTTTCTTATTCTCTTTTAAGGTATAAATTAGTGAGTTTGATAAATAATCATCTTTGATTTGACTTAGTTCCATTTTGCATAGGAAATGCCACTCTTTTTTTGAAACTACAGTAATAGTCTATTTTTGCGTAAATTTGTTGGGTTTAAGAGGCTCCTAAAAATCTGAAGAACGTGTTTTACAGAAACCACAATTGAAATCCCGAACACAACTTTAAGAAATAAGACTTTAGATTTTATCAAACAAGATTCTAATCTCAAGAAAAAAATCCGAACTTCAAAAGCTAAAGAAACCTGATATAATGTATTGCGAGAAATAGTTGAACCGCGTATAAGTAGTTAATCTACTTCTCGAAGAGAAGTGCTTGAAATACGTCTGAGCGGTTCAGCTACTTCTCGCAATGCATTAAATATGGTCTCTGATTATTAAGCTCAACAAGTATTTTATTGATGAATATATAGATGTATAGATAAATATAAATTTAATGGTTAGAACTGACGACGGTCAACCCAGACCGAAATATATTTTCAATAAATGTGTGAACTACCATCAACTTTTTTTACTTCACAGAGGTTTGGTCCATCACCTTCACTGAATTTTAAATATAAATAATGTTTGTATTATAGGGGGTCATTGTTCACTGGAAGTAGGAAGAGCTTAAACCATGAGAAGAAAATGGAATTCTTCTCTGCTAAGAATGATATCACACCAGTCAAAATACAAACCAGACACATGAATTTAGGTTAGCATATATTGATTGATTGATGGATTGATGGATTGATGAATGGATCCAGGTTAGCATATATGGATTTATTTATTAATTGATTGATTGATTGATGAATGGATCCAGGTTAGCAAATAGGGATTGATTGTTTGATGCGTTGATTGATTGATTGACTCATTGATTAATTCTGAATCTTTGCTATTCAATTACTTCCGTTTTCACTGAATTTTATGTCAAGATTACTATTTATGTTCTAGATGGAACAGTAGAAATGGCTGAAAACATGTCGGAAATTGTTGTTCCTACTTGCTCATATAGGATGGGTGTCCAGGTAGATTATGAAGATTTAAAAAGAATGATTTACTCTTTTGTTATTATTAGAATTATCTGACTGATCTTTGAATCTCTCCTCAGGAGATGGGTGTAGGGTTGGCTGTATTCTCAAAGTCTGGAGATCTAGTTTACTCCAATCTCTGGGTTCCAGCGAGGTTCCCCTTGCTCTACCTCTACCTTGCTTCCGTCCTCTCCATCTTTATCCTTATACTTGTCAGCAAATGTCTTACTTTTAGGTATAGTAAATTATTTGTGATCTTTGTCTGGATAATCTTGGTCTTAGTTGTCTTTGTCTTTGTGGTCTTGGTCTTTGTCTTTGTTGTCTTTGTCTTTGTGGTCTTCGTCTTTGTCATTGTTGTCTTGGTCTTGGTCTTTCTTGTCTCGGTCTTGGTTGTCTTGGTCTTAGTTGTCTTGGTCTTAGTTGTCTTGGTATTAGTTGTCTTGGTCTTAGTTGTCTTTGTTGTCTTGGTCATTGTTGTCTTGGTCTTGGTCTTAGTTGTCTTGGTCTTGGTCTTAGTTGTCTTTGTCTTTGTGGTATTGGTTTTTATCTTTGTTGGATTGGTCTTTGTCATTTTTGTCTTGGTCTTAGTTGTCTTTTTTGTCTTTATCTTTGTTGTCTTTGTCTTTGTTGTCATGGTCTTGGTCTTAGTTGTTTTCCCTTTTCTTTGTCCAAAGTATTGTCAAGTTGTCTTCGGATATGCATTGCAAGCTCCAGATTCTAGAACCTTCTAGATAATTTTTAATATTTTCCCTTAAACCCTTTTCACACCATTAAAATTCTCACACCATTTAAATTCCTCAAATTATTTTCTATTTTTTATTATGGGCAAATTATATTTTTAAGGAGGGGGGGGGGTAATGATTTTCAATAAAATATATACCCTTCGAAGTAATACAATTTTTATCTTTAGAAAAACAAGAAGACGACCGCCACCACCGGGAATAAATTATGGAAACTATGAACTATTGAAACTTGCAACTCATGAAATATGAAAACTTTCATCAGAAACTTAGAAATTTACATGAGGACGTAATCGCCTTCCATATTGTCTACAAAATAAGTATTTTATGATCTAGAACCATATCCAAACTTTGTTGAAACTTTCACTACGTAACAAATTTTGTAACAAACAAAATAATATTAAGTAAACGTTAAATTTTGACCATGCATATTGCATAATTTACATGTGCACTATGCAGTCTTAATTAGTAAAAATTACACTGTACAAGATTTATTGTAGTACAGTACAGTACAGTACAATACAGTACAGTACAGTAATGATTTATATGTGATATAAAATGTATTATTGTTAGAATCTCGTATTTCAGAAAATGCTCACCAGAGCACCAATGTTAAGGTTGTGTAAAATTCTGAAATTTTCAGACTTCTTGTTTTCAAAACCGGTTCTTTCCCGATTCCTATCCACGTCTGAAGTACTAAGAATGGAACTGAAGGAAGTTGTGAAACGATTGGAACAATTTGCTCCAACTTCTTTAGGTAAAGCACGAATAGAGGAAATTCTCACAAAGGCGAGCACTTAAAAATTGTAGTACTTGGAATTAGTTGGAAATGGGAGTATAAGAAACGGAGTAAATAGAAATGGAAGTGCTGAGAAATGGGAGGGCTTAGAAATGGGAATGCTTAGAAATGGGAGTGGTTAGAAATGAGAGTGCTTTGAAATGGGGGTGGTGGGAAATGGAAGAGCTTAGAAATGGGAGTGCTTGGAAATGGGAGAGCTCACAAGTGAAAGTGCTTAGAAATTGGAGAACTTAGAAATGGGTTTCCTTAGAAATGGGTGTGCCGTAAAATGGAAGAGCTTAGAAATGGGTGAGCTTAGAAATGGGTGAGCTTAGAAATGGGATTGCTTAAAAATGGGAGTGCTTATGAATGGGATTGCTTAGAAATGGAAGTGCTTAGAAAAGGGTGAACTTAGAAATGGGAGTGCTTAATAATGGGAGTGCTTAGAAATGGGATTGCTAAGAAATGGAAGTGCTTTAAATGGGAGTGCTTAGAAATGGGAGTTCTTAGCAATGGGTGTACTAAGAAATAGGAGTGCTTAGAAACGGGATCGCTTAGAAATGGGAGTGACTTTAAATAGGTGTGCTTAGAAATGGGAGTGCTTAGAAATGGGAGTGCTTAGAAATGGGAGATATTAGAAATGGGAGATATTAGAAATTGGTTTATGAATGAGAGTGCTTAGAAATGGGATTTATTAGAAATGGGAGTAATTAGAAATGGGAGTCATTAGAAATGGGTTTATAAATGGGAGTGCTTAGAAATGGGAGTGTTTAGATTGACAGTTATTAGAAATAGGTTTATAAATGGGAGTGCTTGAAAACTTTCTTATCGAATTCTTATTAACAAAATTTTTTTTAAAATTATTAGCTGGAAGTTGGGACAATGTTGGGCTACTCTTGGAACCAATGCAGAAGAAACCGGTTTCAAGGTTTGTTTACAAATATTACATTTTTACTAAATTGGTAGGCGATTATATAAATATAACGAAGACGACTTTCGATTTTAATTTTGATTTTTTTCATAATCAAGCCTTTTAACAGTATTGTTACACAAAAACATGAAAACAAAGAGAAGCTGTAAATTAAAAAAAGTCTCTTTAATTACTTTTGAACTTGTAATTCGAAAAAAGCCTTCAACAATTAAAACTTGAATTAAAATGTCGTCTTCATTATATTGAAATAATCGCCTACCAATGTATATATTTTTTAGTCGATTAAATCCCACAATCTTAGTTTTTAGGCCAAAGTATATATTTTCTTCTAAGTTAGTATTTCTTAAATTTCCCGAATTTCAATTGTCCTATACTCGAAAGTTCGGAACGTTATGGGCCGTTCTTCAGACCGCCCGGACAAATCGTTGCAGTTACAGGCTTACAGTTGCCAGTTTTGTAGTTGCTATTTTTCAATTTTTTTCTTCCTTTTTTCCTGCGAAAAAAAACGTTTCAGGAGTTCTTTAAATTCCTCATGCACCATTTAGAATGTTATTTATTCAATTATGTTCAGGCTATTGTTGACAAATGATCTGACTGAACCGGTTCTTGAGGAAGCTTTGAAGTTGGTATGTACAATACTTACAATGTGTGTACAGTAGGGGGAGTCAATTTATAAAATTTGCAATTTGCTTCAAATCAATATGGCGATAGTCAATTCTAAAAAAAAACAATTTAAGAACAATTTCATTGAAAGCATTTTGCACGTGTATTGCGGCATCATAGGTCCTGTAATTCTGCAATGAAATTTTAAAATTCACTTCTTCCTAATGTACACTTTACAGGGTTACCCGAATAGCATGAATCGTTGGAGACGACTGTACAGTACAGTGTACAGATTATGTGCTTCTGGATATCAGTTATTTTATTTATTTGCCATCTAATTTTTATAATTTTAAAGAGAGTAGACTAAAGAAGTTCAGACTTAATCCTTAGATCTTGTTATTTAGATAGTTTCAGGTTGTCTTTAAAGTCTCTTTCTATTAAAGTATAGGATCCGGATCCGTTGGATCTCCAAGAATATCAACCGAATATTGCAAAAAAAAAACCTTTTTTACTCTCAAAACACCCAAAAAGTGAGATTATTTAAATTTCCTGATTTCTGAATGGTTCATCAATTTTAGCATAAGAATAAGCGAAAAAAATAAGATAAATGAAAATTCTGCTTTGTCTGAAACATTCAGTAAATCTTAAAGAAATGACCTGGATCCGGATCCGCATCAAAATTAAATAATTTAACACTGGTATCCCTAATACCCTATACATTATACAATAGACTCAACATTCAACAGTTTCAGTTGTAAACAATGTATAGTTTGACAATGTAGTAGTCTAAACATTAAACAATATTGCAGGGTAAATTCTTCAATTCCTTAACATTTTAAAATATCAATTTTATAGAGTTATTTTCCATTAGTTTGCTAAATATATCAATATTTTTTTGTATTTTCATACTTCACTAATTTTCAGGAAGTAGATATGATAATATCCTACCACCCTCCTCTGTTCAAACCTATGAAACGATTAACTGCCGAAAACTGGAAGGTAGCTGATTTTTTATATCAACCTATTAAAAATGCTCTCAAATCAAATCAAATCAAATCAAATCAAAGTGGAACCCCAAGACTGCCTTCAGGGCTCTGCTAAGGAGTGATGAGCTACGTTTTCCGCAAAATCGACCACACTTAATCAATTTCAAGTCTAGAATCAAGAATTCTTTAATCTCTCACCTTAACTTTAAAGTTTGACCAAACATAGTCAGTTTTCTTGGAAAAGAATTTCTCTGGTTTTAAAAACTAAGCTTTAAGAAAAAGGTCTCTAGGATTAATCCTTGTCATAGTCTCTTTAACAGGTTAGTCTTGAACAAATTTTTTTCCTGAAATAGTTAAATTTCGGCATTAAGTTGTTTCTTATTATTAATATTATTATTAGTATATTATGCGTAGGAAGAAAGTCTGCACCTTTCGGTGAATGATCAAAATTATTCCACGGTTTTTCTTTTAATATTATAACAATAATTTTGATTATTACACTTTCTTCCTACGCATAATATACTAATATCTATTGCTTAGGATCAGGATCCGTTAGGTCCGCAACATTTTGGCTTCCTGGAATCGGATCCGCAAAAATATGTTTTCTCGAGGATCCGGATCCAAGGGGGAAATATCAATTAAAAGCTACAACAAAAACCTTTTTACTCTTAAAACTCAAATCATAACTGTGAAATACGAGAGATTATTAAAAATCTCTTATCGCTGAATGGGTCATCAAAATAAGCGGAAAAACAGAAGATATGAACATTTTTCTTCTGTTCAAAAAATGAGAATCTTATAAGAAATTTTAGTCTTTTTGCAGTTCGGATTTAGGATCCGGATCCGGATCCGCATCAAAATTAAATGGATCCTAAGCACTGATAATATCTATCTTTTGTTATAAAAAACCTGTGTTATTTTTAATTAAATATTTTATATTATCATTTTAAGTTTTTCATTATTTCAAATGATAAATTTCAGGAGAGAATTGTAATACAATGCTTGGAAAACAAGATAGCTGTTTACTCCCCACACACAGCCTGGGACGCAGTTCAGGTATTTTAGAACATAGATTGAGAAGACAGGTGTGGGCTTTTTATTCAAGGATTTTACATCCCAAAAATCGGAAAATGTCAAGGAAAAATGCGTTGTTTTTGTTATGCTAATGAGGCATTTTTCTGCCATAAGATACTAGCCTTAAAATAAAATGATTATTCGTCTCAAACTCGTATATCTCTTATATATTTGCAACCTGAATGTGATAATCTTAGATATTTTAAACCTTGACACTTTAATCTTAACAGAATTCACAGTTTAAAATATCTAAGGTTCATTGCATCAGGTTTTTAAAATTAGAATTTTATAGTAAGTTATTAGTTTGTGTGTTTATATTAATATTAGACCAGTGCTAAGGATCCGAATCCGGATCCGGATCCAAGGGGCAAAATATCAACCAAAAACTGCAAAAAAAAAATATTTTAATTCTCAAAACTAAAATCTGAACTGTTGTAAAAAGAAAGATTTTATAAATTTCCTGTTCCCTGAATGGCTCATCAAGACTTAGCATAAAAATAAGCGAAAAAAAGAAAAAAATTTGAGAATGCTGCTTCGTTAAAAAAATTTAGTAAATCTTAAAGAAACGTTCATTATCTGGATCCGGATCCATTTTTTTAGTGCGGATCCAGGATCCGGATCTGCATCAAAATTAAATGGAACCTAAGCACTGTATTAAACGGTTACAGGGTGGGATTAATAAGTGATATTAATATTAAACGGTTGTAGGGTGGGATTAATGAGTGGCTTCTTCTACCCTTTGGACCAGGTAAATTCAAATATCTTACTCTTTTATTTTTAAATAGAATTAGGACCAGGGGTGTATAAAAATATGAGCTATCATTGGGTTGAGGGAAAAAATTAAGAAAAAGGAAAAAGTGGGTAAGGAAGGGGAAAAAGAAAAGGGAAGGGGAAGAGGGAAGGGAAAACGGGAAGAGGGGAGGGAAAAGGGGAAGAGGAAAGGAAAAAATGGGAAGAGGGAAGGGAAAAATGGGGAGAGGGTAGGGAAAACGGGAAGAGGGGAGGGAAAAGGGGAAGAGAGGAGGGAAAACGGGAAGTGGGGAGGGAAAACGGGAAGAGGGGAGGGAAAACCGGAAGAGGGGAGGGAAAAGGGGAAAAGGGAAGGGAAAAATGGGGAGAGGGGAGAGAAAAATGGGAAGACGGAAGGAAAGGGGGAAGGGAAAGGAAAAACCACACAAAAAAACTAAAAAAAAACTACATTAGAAATGCTTTAAAAAATTCAGGGGGGACCTTGTAGTTGACAATTTTAGGGTACTCAAACGCTCCATTTTACTACTAAAATCCAAAAATATTCTTTCCAAAGAGGGCTCTGTCCCCCCCCCCTCTCGTCGAAGTTTGCGTGGGCTTCAGAAACCTGTAAAATATAAAAATATGAGTCACAACTAATATACACCCCTGATTAGGACATAACAAGATAAATGAAAAAATGAAGAGAAGGTAGATTAAAATATGAATGAAAAAATGCAGAGAAGGTAGATTAAAATATGAATGAAAAGATGAAAAGATTAATGAAATGATGAAACAAATGATGAATAAATGAATAAAACTATGAACAGATGAATAAAATGATAAAAAATGATTGAAAAAATGAATGATGGATGAAATGGCAAAAAGATGAAAAGTTAAGTAGATTTATTAAAAGATAAAAAGATGGATGGAATGTTGAATGAAAGATGAATGAAAAGATAATGAAAAGATGAAAAGTTTATGAAAAGATGATGGAAGAATGAATGTAAATCATGAAAATTTGGATGGAATGATAAGTGAAAAGATGAATGGAATGCTGAATAATCTGATAACGAGATAAATGAAAAGATGAATTAAAAAAAGGATGAATTAAAAGAAGGATGAAAAGATGAATGGATGGAAAGATTAATAAAAAATGAATGGATGGATGGAAAGATTAATGAAAAAATGAATGGATGGATGGAAAGGTTAATGAAAAGATGAATGGATGGATGGAAAGATTAATGAAAAGATTTATAGATGGATGGAAAGATTAATGAAAATATGAATGGATGGATGGAAAAATGAATGAAAACCATAAAAAGCTATGATTATTAATTAATTATTAATTATTAATTAATAAGAGAATATATCTAGGAAAAAGTTGCCCGTGTGAGAGTCAGGTTGACCCATCAACTTCTAGCTTCTCTATACAAATACCTAACTCTTGCCAAATTTAGTTTCGGGGATTTTAAAATTTAAAATTAGACATCAAAAGGCAAATTTTTCCATCTTTATTCATACTTTTACTTAAAAAATTCCCCCTTAAAATCATTTATCTTATGTCTCCAATTCCGTTGAATAAAACCTTAAACAAATTGTTTACTTAGAAAAAAAATATTTTCAAAAGAGGGGTAATGTGAAAATTCATATCCTTGACAATATTTAAAAAAAGTTCAATTAATTTTATTTGTTTTCAGTATTTTGTAAATGATGTAAATGAGTTTTAAACGGATCAAACTAAAAATATGAATTGTTCTGGAAGCGATTATGATTCTAATAGAAATGCTCGAAAATAGGAAACCTTGTAGTGTCTTGAAAACAGATTAGAATTACAATTACTATTACAATTTTGATTTTAGAAAACAATTTGATAATGGAAATAATTGTCCTCATCATGCGTTATAACAAGTTAGTTATAGTTTTTATTATCGATTTTTTCTCGATATAGGACGGAATCCTTAAAATCAATCTTTTAATTTTGCTAACTTCTAGCTCTCAGTGTTTGAAATGGGCCATATATCCAGTTTGGAATTATGTCCCCTGTAATACACAGAGAAGTTAAGATAATTTTACTTTACCAAGGGTTCCCCCTAAGAACAATTTTGCCTATAAAACATCTAAAGTGCAGTGAGAGATGTTTTGTTGGCAAAATTGGTCGAGAGAACCCGTTGTTAAGTTTGATCGTTTTTGAGATGTAAATGCGCTAATTTTTTCACGAAAATTTCGCAGAGCGGGTCGTTATTTTACTTAATGGTCCCAAGGGAAGTTAAGTAATTTTTAACGTTCCTCTGTTGGTGGAATCATAGGTCGGTAATGTTGGTCAAAAGCCGGTAATAATATGTTTTCTCCCACCAGACTCTGATATGTGAGAAGAGAGAGCTTGAACATGAATTCTTAAAAATACGAGAAGATGTGAGAAGTCAGGTAGCTTTTATACAAATGTAACCTGGGACCAAATTGAATTGATCCATTTGAATTGGAACTGGAGCTCGAGAGTAAAACGCAGTTCCAACTAATCGGTATTTATTTAATTTGGTCCCAGAAATTTTTTAATAATCACTAAGCAGGGTTGAATATATGGTTGGTTTGATTTTTTTCAATAGTTCTGAAAAGTACAATTTTTTAGGCATATTTTGGATTGTGAAGTTCAATAACTTATCATCTCTTTTTGTTGGAAATTACTTAACTCAAGTTTAAAACTTAAAAAAAATATTTTTTTAATTTTAAAACAATCCCTTTAGGTTCAAATAACCAAGCATGAACCTCATCCCCGGCCAGGAGTTGGACCAGGACGAGTTTCTCATCTAGAATCTTCTCTGAGGTACATCGGAGCTGGGGGGGAAACTGATGTGTTGGGGCCAATGATCGATGTGTTACAAAACCGGCTGCTGTCGGATTTAAGACGCAAAAAGGTCGCCCTTTAGGAACTAATGTTGCTGCCAAGAAAGGACTCGTGACATGACGAGATCAGGACTTGTTATGTCTGATAATTTGTTAAAACATAAGCTAATTTTATTGTCAAATTCAAACATGGACATTGGACATTTGACATAAAAGTTCAGGTCTGTCTGATTATGATAATTTTGCATTATTTAATGGACGACCTTACCTACCATACAAGGCATAAACATACCAGAAGATTGGAGAACGACTTGTTTTGACTGAAATATGAATCAAGTTTTCTAATTTGATCTTAAAGTTTGATCTCCGAAAAGACATGATCTTATTTGATCGGGCAAAAACCCATGTTTAATGAAAGAAATAAAAAAAAATTCAAATATCGCCAGAAAAATATAACAAACCAGGAGAAGAAAGGTAACATTCACAAATTTTATTATTTTTATGTAGACTTGGTATTTTAGATTAGATGAAGCAATCTCCAAGATAAAGGAGCACCTGAAGCTGACCCATGTTCGCCTAGCTCTAGCTAACAACCATACCCTGAGCTCCCAGGTCTCTAGGGTTGGAGTATGTGCTGGGTCCGGAGCTAGTGTTCTAGGAGGGGTCAGAGCAGATCTTATTCTTACCGGAGAAATGTCACATCATGAAGTCTTGGACTTTGTACACAGGTAAAAAAATTTTCATTCACAATTTTCATGAAATATTCAAATTCCACAAGTTAGTAATTAATTTTATCATGGACTGACTTTTGGGTGACAGTTAATATTAAGCGGGCCAGAAACAATTCTCAAGGGTACCAGTAGATGAATAGGGTCTATATTTAATGTTTAAAGCTGTATGTATTTCTTAAAATTTCCAATATTTGCCTCCGGATTTTTTTTTATGAAACTGAAAGCCACTCGTAGTCGTGAAGGATTCAGCTAAGACGAACAAGAAAATTTCTAAAATTATTAAGTTTCCAGATTTTGAATTATGGAATCACTTTCAACATCTATTGATATTTTTAACGGCGTTTTTGTGAAATATAAATTGAACTACTGAAGAAAACTAAGAATCACATTGAATTTATTTTCTAGGGGGGTCTCTGTTATCCTTACTGATCACAGTAACACGGAGAGAGGATTTCTGACCCATATTAGGAACAAAACACCAAACAATTAAAAAAATTATTTTTCCTGATTTAACTTTTAAATATTGTACATTTTCTTTACAAACTATATTTTCCAATTGATTGAAAGCATTGATTTATTTCCTGAAAATAAAACAAAGTGTTTTTACCTTTAGGCCGAGATTATCAAGCCTATTCGAGGACAATATTCAAATATTGATCTCAACGATAGATAGAGATCCTTTGGAGGTCGTTTAGTTCACCTCCTATAGAGATCCTTTGGAGGTCGTTTAGCTTACCTCCAATAGAGATCCTTTGGAGGTCGTGATGCCTCTAATAGAGATCATTTGAAGGTTTTGTAATATGCCTCCAACAGTTGAGTTTATTCATAAAATGCATCAAGCCCTTGTTCCTGTTTTGTGAGTCCCGAAAACAACTTAAAGGGAGAGACCGGCTATGTAACATAGTTGAACTGAACGTGCTCCTGTTATGTTTACCTCACTGTGATATATTTCCAGATAAAAATGACGGAAACCTAAAATACTAAATCAAATTTTCAAATTACTTTTTCAAAATGAGCGATGACGAAATTAATTTTCCACGCCTTCTAAAGAATGGGATTAAGGTAGGTAAAAAATTTCCTAAAAGGGGAGGTGGTTGTGGGGGGGGGGCAAATTATGATGCACAGAATATGACTTCCTTCAATTTGTTCTTGCAGGACTGGGAGCCTCTTTCATGGAATTTAGACAAATGGAAGCTTGAGCTTAATAGAGAAAGGTGAGTAGTTGAAACTATTTTAGATTAGAATCCTAATCAAACAAAATCAGAAAATTAAAGTATGTGAAAATTTTATTTATTACTTAAATTAAAATTTTTATGTTCTAGTTTGGAGATACGAACTGGGAAACTAAACCCTGCATTTAACTATCCACAATGGGAGACAACAACGAAGGTAACATTTTTCTTTAATCTTTTTTTTTCTTTAAAGACCCTCCATACAAAAATGGCAAAAGGCAAACGATATCCTTGAAACCATCTGATTAATATTGTAGAAGATATTATAGTTTTTTTTCTGATAAATTTGATTATGTTTTCCTGCAGTAGAAATGCGCATGTAACTTTTGTATAGATAGCACAAGAGGACAGCTAGAAGGGAGATATAAGTGACGCGGTTCGCCTTACCTTATGATTATGCGTGCTTTGCAGATGAGTACTCCATTTGTATAAAAATATTCAAAATAGGTTATTGTATACGCGGTAATTGTACATCAGACAAATATTTCTTATACAAATATAGTAGCGTCTGCAAAGCATGTATAATCATATGGTAGGGCGAACCGCGTCAGTTATATCTCCCTTCTATTCCTTACTCCCTGACAGCTAGTCTCTTTTTTTATATTATTTGTGAAAAATCTTTCTCATGTATCTCTTCAGTTAACAGAACAATTTATTTGATACTCATAGTTTTACATCAACTAATTTTATTTTATTTTTTACTTAAATGAACGGGAAAGATATCAGAGTTTTTTTTCTCACCTGATTTTTTTGCCGACTAATTTTCCAAAAAAAATGTCGTTCAAAACAATTTTGTCCAGATGAACAATGTTCCCAGTGGTGACTTCTTCAGCCCTGAATACCAGAATAGTATGGTAGAGAAGGGTGAGTGGGGATATTTTGATTATAAATATATGCGGGATTTATTCCCCCCCTCTACCCTATCTCTATTCTCCTGGAACAGTTTGGGACTTAAGGCAGGGCTAATAATAATCTTTCTTCCATAATAAAAGATTCACGCTTGGAAAAAAATGCCCAAACATTTTTATTTTTATTGATTTTTATCTACTTTGAATTAAATCAACATACTTAACTTTTACCAAGTTTATCAACTTCATTATTATAAACTTTATTAACTTTATCAACTATATTAACTACCTTAATTTTATCAACTTTATCAACATTCCAATATTAGCCCGAGTACAGGACAGGGACGGGATGGATTCTACTCTATGGATTGGTTCTCAGGGTGCTCACACACCTTGCCATCAGGTAAAACCCGTTACCTCATTCCGCAGTCTTGTTCTAGTGAAATAGATATCTTATAATTCCATTAGGGTTCATCTGAATTGATTTGAATGGATCTGACTTGATTTAAAAAGATCTTGATTTTTTTTTTCAATCTTCATTATGATTTTTTTTGGATCTTTACGTTTTTAAAAATTATTTTGTTTTATTATTATTTTTTAGGATAGTTATGGATATAATCTAGTCTGTCAACTTGTTGGAACCAAGAAGTGGATTCTCTTCCCTCCAAACCAAACGGAGGTTAGACAATAGACATCTTTGAAAATGATAATTAAAAAATATGTTTATTTTTACCAGAAGGCTCAAAAGTGATTTTTTATTTTACCCTAATAATGGATGGAGGATATATGGCAATATGGTAATTTTTGTTCAATGTGTTGTGCCCCCAACATGTTTATATTATAACTTGAGTTATTTGCGTTATTTTTAGTATTTGAAACCTTCCCGTGTACCGTACGAGGAATCCTCTGTGTACAGCGATATAAACTTTCATCAGGTTCAGAGAAATCCTGTACATGTATTCAATAAACTACAGTACACCACTCCGTACATAGTCACCCTTAGGCCGGGAGATGTTCTGTATGTACCAAGACATTGGTGGCATTTTGTGCAGAACATAACCTTCTCTGTCAGGTAATGCAAAAAAAAATGGCGGGAATACCAAAATTCATTATTCGAGGTTTTGTATCGTATTTTTGTTTTTAAAATGCGAACTAGACTTTAGTATTTGTATGCCTTTGGTTTTATCATCACGTGGTCTGTATATCCAGATCAATGCTTATCTCAAGATTAATCTAATCTTTAGTTTATTTTTTGGAAATTGTGTAATATTCAACCAAAAAAGTGGCGTGTACAAAATCCCAAACAGTCAATTAGAGGCCGATAAATTTTAAAATTTTGCCCGCGAAATCAACTAGCAAACTCTCATGGGTGCAATCCAGTAGGGATATCCAAAAAGAGAGGATTAAGTAGTAAATCAATAGTGTCAAAAGTGGATACATAGATTTAGTAATCGGGATTAAAGGTATCCAATTCTAAATTTTCAGCTCTGTTAAGATTAAGAAAATTTTGGTTTTATTGAATAGTTTTCTATTCATGTCTTTCTTTTTCAGTGTGAACACCTGGGTAGAGTGTAAAGAGGATAATCAATCCCGGTTAGAAGAATCCTTAGTACGGATACAAGCAGCTCTTCTCTCCCAATCCATATCCAGGTTCTACATAATATATATCCTTAACATGGATACAAGCAGCTCTTCTCTCCCAATCCGTATCCAGGTTCTACATAATATATATCCTTAACACGGATACAAGCAGCTCTTCTCTCCCAATCCGTATCCAGGTTCTACATAATATATATCCTTAGCACGGATACAAGCAGCTCTTCTATCCCAATCCGTATCCAGGTCATATATAATATATATCCTTAGCACGGATACAAGCTGCTATACTCACCCGATCCGTATCCAGGTTCTATATATCCTTAGTACGGATACAAGCTGCTATACTCGCCCAATCGTAATCCAGGTTTTATATATTCTAACTCCGGATACAAGCTGCTCTTTTCTCCCAATCCTAATCCAGATAGAAAATATCTATAGTATGGATAGGGATACAAGCTGCTTGGGTATTTGGATGACACATTGTATAACAAGGAAATTGATAACAGTTGGAGCTATCGTTTCCTCATAAAAATTATTTTTATTTTGAAGAAATTATCGATTATGTTTTTTTAGATTTATCTGTTGGTCTCGTTGAGATGATTGATAAGAATCAAGACCAGAAGAATGTGTACCTGGATTTCAATAAGCAGTGGGAACTTCTCCGCCTTGAGACATCAATCCGTTGGCTTGGCGGAGACCTTTTGGCGGATGGTGGTGATATTGAGAAGATAAAACTACATATTGAAAGCAAGCCTGAATTAGCCAAGGCGGAAGAAATGATAAAACATGCCTCCGAGAGGTATTTACCTTCCTCCGAGAGTTATCTTCCTGCCTCTCTGGTTACCAGGGTGCATCTGTTCAATGTGCTGACATCTGCCGCTGTTATAAAGACAGCAAGTCAAGAGCTGAAGAAAACTCAACTGTGATTATTTCAGAAATGTTCCGAAATGTTGTCTCTGTATCGTGTAGGCTACAACCGTGTCGGGTCAGCCTAGCACCTGATGTCCAAGTTAGATGGCGCTGGCATAAAGATAAATTGGAAAATAGGTGAGAGTTTTTATTATCCAATCCAGTATCTATATATACTTTGCTTGTCTGTCTGTATGTTTGTTTGTATCCAATTTTTTGTGGGACCTCACGTGACCCTAGGGAAGGCTTAAATAAAATTCGATTTTTGAAAATTTTTAAAGACCACGAATTTTTCTTTTAAAATCTGCGAAATTTGTTGTTTGTTTTTATTTTACAATGTATTAAAAGAGAAAATGTTCACAATTAAAATAGAAGATGGGCGCCCGCTAAAAGCCTAGTTATCAAATAAAAGGATGATGAGGAAATTTTACTTTGCCAAAAAAATATAATTTATGGTATATTTTTTGAGGGAAAATTTGAGTTATGGGACACCAAGTGGGCAAATGTTTTCGCCAATTGCTGATTTTTTTTAACCCAAACATTCACTTATTTCCGGGGGATATGATATTAAACAAATAAGATACCTCTGTTCGACCTATTTGGCCTGCAAAGCATCCAAAGCATAACTAAGAATGTTTTGTTGCTGGGATTATTTCGCTAAACTTAAACAACTGATTCATTAACGTTTAAACATTATACAAATCCGGGCTGAAAACCCATCTCTTAGTCAGGACTTGAAACTCCAAGCTGTAGAGTGGAGCCTAAAGCTTTCCCTAACACTCATGATTTGATGATTTGATTTGTAAGCCAAAATGGAATGAGTAAATTTTGTTATTTTATTTTTATCGAATGGGGATGGGGCCGGGGGTATTAATTAAAGATGAAAACAGTTCTAGTGATACCATGAAATGGCAGAAAACAAGATGCTAATTAATCTTTGGAATTGAAACCCCCCGAGAAATAACAATTCTTGTTCACAAAGTTTTTTATTTATTTCAGAACCCTGCATAGATGGGGATATAATGACAACGTTAAACAGCAAGGTAGGGGGTGCACTGCATAATGTATAATTTCCCCTCACTCTAGGGAAAATTTGGAGATCTAAACTAGAAATTACTGGCGAGAGGAAAGTTTTGATAAATGTCCCGTCCAAATTAATTAATTTTACTTCCAAAATAATTAATTATACTTCCAAAATAATTAATTATACTTCCAAAATAATTAATTTTACTTCCAATATAATTAATTATACTTCCAAAATTAATTAATTTTACTTCCAAAATAATTAATTATACTTCTAAAATAATTAATTTTACTTCCAAAATAATTAATTATACTTCTAAAATAATAATTTTACTTCCAAAATAATTAATTTACTTCCAAAATAATTAATTTTACTTCCAAAAATAATTAATTTTACTTCAAAAATAATTTTACTTCCCAAACAAAATTTAATATTTCTCAAATCTTTAATTCACGGATGAAAGGAGAAGGAGAGAAGTGAGAAATTTAGCCTTTCTCAAATTAAAGTGGGGTTATAACGTGATTAAAAAATGTGATAATATTGCACCCCCGTAAACCTTAGGTCCTCTACCCAGACTTAAGAATGATTCAGACAGAATATCCCAGGTTCCTGTCTACACACCTAAACTATCGTAAGTCTAGCTTCTATTTAAAATATATTTTAAGTAGTAATCGCTGTTTTTCTGTCCGATCATTACATATGAACCCCTTGGACAGATTTGCGTCAAATTTCAAATGGAGAATTCGAGAGAGTCACGGGAATGTTCTCAGCCTAGATTTGAGATTTAGTTGAATGGGTCAACTTTTATAGAGAAAAATAGGTAAAACTGTAATTTACGACCAAGCGTGGGTAAATGGCGGGAATAATTATGAGTACCCTGGGCAACGCTGGGTTCCAAAGCTAGTATATATGGGAGTAATCTCTGTTTGTATGAACATTACAACTCATAAATCCCTTACATTATTTTTTTTAGAAATTCGAAGCTGTTCTTAGTTTTGACTTAGCCGACTTTTATAGGGATAGTTTAGATTTCCAAGCCAGGCTTGGTTCCTATACTGGTTATTAATGAAGATCTAATCTGGTTATTAATATAGATTTAATCTAATTATTAATGAAGATCTAAATGCACTTTTTACGAGGCAAATAATTGCTCTTAAATAGTTTATATGTAAAAGATTAAATAAGACTTACAACATATAAGACTATAGAGTGGAACTGGGCATCTCTTGTAATTTCTTTATTACAAAATAATTGGCTGAAAATCTTATTGGTTATAGAGACTTGTGGTTTAACATTTCTAGAAATCAGTCAAATCCAAAGCGCTTATGAACTTTAATCAGTGTTTGAACCAATTTTTTTTCGTTTCATCGCATTCATAAAGTTTTGACCCCGATTTCTCTTTAACATTTTAAATAGTTAAACCTACTGAATCTCATGAAAAAATTTTCCATCATGAAAAATCTGGTCTGGGTATTGCTAATCTCGCAATATTCTAAAGCTGACATCAGTGTTTCTTTCAGGTTTGAATTGCCAGTTTAGTTGCAGAGAAAAACGGCAAACTATGATACTTTAACAAAAATAGTTAAAATTGTATTTTTTGTAGACATTGTTTTTGTTCCAACTGGAAGAATTATTTAAAAATTTGAAGGTTTTACAATCTAAATTAACAAGAGAACTGAAGCTTGATTTTCTAATCATTATATCTTCGCACCCAGATGTTGTAGAGCTTTGATGTTTTAAACTTTAGATTCTACTGGATCAAATATTGTAGTTAATAATATCAATGGTTTGCACCATTAAGTTGCAATTATTTAATGATAAGAAAAATTGAGTTTTTATAATTGTGAAATTTATAAAATTGGGTGTTTATTAATGCCAGAAAAAGTGACCGAAATGATGTGTATTTTGTAATTCTTTTAGCATTGCTTATATCAATATAAAAGATAATAATGATAATAATAACAATAATTAAGGTGGGCAGAACACCGGGCCTTGGCCGGTCAGAATGATTATATTGATATTCTTGGCAATGAGGAGATTCATCCTAGAGATATCCTGTATAATGTACCAAAGTAAGTTTCAATCTAAAGACTGTGCTTAATAATATATTTTTAGGAACTGTCCCATTTCCCTCACCCAGGAGCACGGGGAAATAATATTTTAAAATAAGGGGTAAAAGAAATCACGGGAACTCAACCATCAGGTTTATTCTGATATTTTGCTAAAAAAAATTTTTATTGGGGGGGCGGGTTATGATTTTTTCGAAAATAACTATAAACTGAAAAAGGAATATATGAGGCCCTCCCGTCTAGTGATGTCTTAAGTTACTTTCCGGAACTTTTCACGAACTTGCTATTTGATAATGATTGCATGTTTTTGTCGTCTGTCGGTTTTTTTTTAAACTATCAGACATGACAAAAATATATTCTGTAGAAAAACATAACTTTTTTACCTAAAATATAATTTCCAAAAATTTAGGTATTTAAGAGATTCGCATAAAGAAGAAAAACACGTACAGATGGCGATCCGACGTAAACAATTCTTAGAGAATACTCCTTTTCCTAAACAGTATCCCAGGAAATGGGAGAACTGGTGTAAACAGGTTTGATCCGTTACTTTTACAGGACAATCCATGGATTGATGCATTACAGAATTGATGCATTTTTGTATTGATGCTGTAATGGATTGATGCAATAATGGATTTAAACGAGTTAATGCATCATTGAATTAGGACATTAATGACTTCATGCATATAAGAATTCCCTTTACTGGACAATACATGGATTCATGCATCAATGTATTAATGCTATAATTGACTGATGTAATAATGGATTGATGCAAAAATGAATTAATGCTATAATGGATTGATGTAATAATGGATTGATGTAATAATGGCTTGATGCAATAATGGATTGATGCAATAATGGATTGATGCAATAATGGATTGATACTAAATTGGAATGAAGCTATAATGGTTTAATACCAAATGGAAGATGCATCAATGGAATGATGCTATAATGGTTTGATGCCATAGGGAATTATTTATTTTTGATTTATTATTGGAATGAAGCTATAATGGCTTGATGCCATACGGATTTATGCATTTTTGATGCATCATTGGAATGAAGCTATAATGGTTTGATGCCATCGGGAATTTTTTATTTTTTATTTATCATTGGAATGAAGCTATAATGGCTTGATGCCATATGGATTTATGCATTTTTGATGCATCATTGGAATGAAGCTATGCATCATTGGAATGCATCAATAAATGGAGGCACTAATGTCTTCATGCATCAATAATGGATTAATCCATTATTGGATTGGAGCATCAATGTAATAATACATTAATAAGTCATGCATGGAAGGATTGATGGAACTATGAATTGATGGAATACTGACTGCATGCATCAATGGAATTATATAGAAATCAATTAATAAACCTTGACATCAGTGGATGGATGTATTAATTGATTGATGCAGTAACTGGTTCATGTATAAATGGATGGATTACATATTTTTTCTTTTAACTATTCTATTTTGTTCAGATTGATCGAGATCTGAAATGGATGAATAATCACGTGAGCCAGAAGTGGTGGGCTAACTACCAAGGAGTTAAGACTGGTCCAGTTCAGAACCCGTTCAAGCCACAGATTTTCTAGATTTTCATGCTTTCTTTCTTTCTAGATATTTTACAAATCATAAACAAAATTTCAGAGAAAATGACAATACACAATTTGTATATATTTGATCGGAATGGTACCCTGCTTTACTATCACGAGTGGGCTAGGAATAAGCACACTTCTATGTCGAAGGTAAAGTAGTATTTTGTGTTATTACTATGTTTGGCATAAATGTTTTTTTTTCAGGATATAATCAAAACTTTTGTATCTCGTACAATGATAAATATATAATATTATCTCACTACAGTGAAGGAACAGATGAACTATTGTATATTGTAGGATGAAGAGGCCAAACCATGTATATTGTAGGATGAAGAAGCTAAACTGTTGTATATTGTAGGATGAAGAAGCTAAACTATTGTATATTGTAGGATGAAGAAGCTAAACTATTGTATATTGTAGGATGAAGAAGCTAAACTATTGTATATTGTAGGATGAAGAAGCTAAACTATTGTATATTGTAGGATGAAGAAGCTAAACTATTGTATATTGTAGGACGAAGAAGCTAAATTATTGTATATTGTAGGATGAAGAAGCTAAACTATTGTATATTGTAGGATGAAGAAGCTAAACTATTGTATATTGTAGGATGAAGAAGCTAAACTGTTGTATATTGTAGGATGAAGAAGCTAAACTATCGTATATTGTAGGATGAAGAAGCTAAACTATTGTATAATGTAGGATGAAGAAGCTAAACTATTATATATTGTAGGATGAAGAAGCTAAACTATAGTATATTGTAGGATGAAGAAGCTAAACTATTGTATATTGTAGGATGAAGAAGCTAAACTATTGTATATTGTAGGATGAAGAAGCTAAACTATTGTATATTGTAGGATGAAGAAGCTAAACTATTGTATATTGTAGGTATTGTATATTGTAGGATGAAGAAGCTAAACTGTTGTACGGAATGTTGTTTTCCTTGAAATCTTTTGTAAATAAACTCTCTCCGTCTGATATGAAGGAAGGGTTTCTCTCATATAAGGTAATAACTATTAACTATTGTATAAGGGGCTGTGATTATAATTCGAACTGTGCATTTATTAAAAAATTACCATTTACGGTTTACAACAATACGTATTCTTAAATCTGATTAAACATTGATAATTTACTGCTGGAATTTTTCTAGAAAGGTTCTTATATAAAGGATGAAATATTAAAATTTTAACTTATTTTTTAATCATTTTTTAGATATTATTTCTTCTTTGTTTTGCACTAATCTTAATTTTTATCTTTTATTTTACTATCAGAAGATATTTTTATATTAGTTGGAATGGTTATAAACAATTTCTTTCTTTGAGAGGAGAAACATTAGGAAGGCACTTATTTTAAAGTACTTAAGAAAATGTAATGACTAAGCGTACCCCTAGCTAGACGAGGGCGGGGGTGCAGAATGAGTCCTGTGAAATGACCTCCAAAGTCTCCTGGTACGCAGGTCGCAGAATGACCTCCAAGACCTGCAAAACCATCTCGGTGCATTTCTCTACTGTATTCAATTTTCGTCTTATTTTCAATCTCCTGTATTCAATATTCATCTTATAGTAAATCAACTGTATTCAATATTCATCTTATATTTAATATGCTGTATTCAATATTCATCTTATATTTAATATACTGTATTCAATATTCATCTTATTTTTAATCTCCTATATTTAATATTCATCTTATATTTAAGCTACTGCATTCAATATTCATCTTATTTTTAATCGCCTGTATTCAATATTCATCATATTTTTAAAATACTGTATTCAATATTCATCTTATTTTTTATCTACTGTATTCAATATTTATCTTAGTTTTAATCTACTGTATTCAATATTCATCTTATATTAAGTCTACTGTATTCAATATTAATCTTATTTATAATCTACTGTATTCAATATTCATCTTATTTTAATATACTGTATTCAATATTCATCTTATATTTAATCTACTGTATTCAATATTCATCTAATATTCAATCTCCTTTATTCAATATTCATCTTATATTTAATCTCCTGTATTCAATATTCATCTTATTTTNTTATGCCTTTATTCCTTTATGCCTTTATACCTTAATACCTTTATCTAAATATTGATTTAATTGTCTATTATCTATAGTCGTAATTTAAACGTCTTAATGTTTTTATTACTCTTTGCCAATATGAAACAAATTAGATTCAAAAGTTACAACATTTTTGTCCAAAATAATTTTTGTGAAAAATTCTGCAATTATCAAGCAAGATTGTTGAAATTTGACAGTTGAAAGGTTTTTTATTTTTAACTATTTTGACTTTGCTTCATAAACACCCCTGGTTTCATTTGCAATCCATAAAGGATTTATTTTTGATCCTAAATCCATTTTTATTTCAGATTAGAGAATTGATGGCGGCTATATATACTCAGATATATGTGGAGTATGCTTCTAAGGAAAATAATGAATTTAGAATTAACTTTCTTTTTAATTTGGAATTTTATAAATTTTAAAATGATTTCTCCAAAAAATTAAATCAATCGGATTTTTAGTCTTGTAGACCCAATATTTTAATCATCTTTTTAGAGAATATGATAATTGTTGCTTTAATATGCTTCTCCTATTTAAAGAATCATCTTTTCTATAAATTAAATGATTATTAATTTTAATCTAGTTTTTCTTACTTAAATTTTAATCATCTTTTCAGATAACTCTGGGTTGTATATATATTACTAAAAAATTATTTCCCCCCCCCCCCCCCCGTCGGAAAATTATTTTTTCCCCCAGTTGTCCTGTATATTTGCCTAGAAATTTCTAGGGTTTTTTCGCTGAATTGGGGTAAATAAATTTTTGGGGAAAAAAGTGTCCAAAAAATGCAAAAACTTGCCTTTTTGATTTTTTATTTATTTCCAAATCATCTAAAGCTATCCCCTCCCCCCGGGGGGAGATTTTATAATTTTGTACTTTTAATTTTCTATTCTTACTGCACAAAATCATCTTACTGAAGTATTTGAAAAATTGGATTTTTGAGTTTTTTTTCCTACTTCAAAACTAACCTTTCTTATAATTACAAAATTTGCTGTGTTACCTAGTTTTCTTATTCCTTTGTCTCCTTTATTAAAGACTTTCCTAAAAGTCGGAAATTTTTTTTATAAGGGAACTTTTCCGACCTTTTCCAAGAAGTGCTTTATAAAGTTATACTACGCTAATTCTCCGTGACTCTTCAACGGTTCTATGCACGACATTTAAACTGATAATTTTTCAAAATTTACCTTTTAAAATGGGGCTGTATATTTTCTCGAAGAAATCACCCCCCCCCCTTTTTGAAAATCTTTTATTTGCCCCGAGAATTCAAGATGCATGAGTGGAGCACAAACGTTTTTATTTGCTGAATTTGGAAAAATAAATGATTTTTAGGGAAAAATGAATAAATTTTTGGTAATCATTCCAAATTAATTCGGAAAGATATACATCTCTGTAAAAAAAAGAAATTATACATTACACAGAATAATTCAATTCTACCCAAATACGCATTACTGCATTACTACAAAAAATTACACTTTACAAATTGATTGAAATTGATTGATTGAACCTGTTAGGAATTGTTATAGCCCTGTCCTAAACTATATAATGAAATAACAGGGAATAGTTCCCCTATCATAGATAGATATGCCAAAGTTTACTCTCGGGAATTCGCCATTGGAAAATTGTATGTGTTATTTTATCTAGAAAATCTGAATTATTGTATTGAAAGAGCCCGATGGTAGTGCAAGGAGAGATGATAACCAGCAATTTATTTAGGAAAATATTAATTTCATCAAATCTGCGTTCTCAGATCCATTTCATTCCATTTCTCTGAACTGTTTATTGGGGCATCAAAAATATCTTAATCTTTTGGATTTTTTATTAGATATGTTTTCATATGTTTGAGCATTCTCTTAATAATAGAATTATTAGGTTGAGAGTAAAAGGAAAATAAGGAAACTCTGCAAGTTCTGGCAGGGTTTCATTTTAAGTCTAAAAACATCTCCAAGGAAGTTTTACATCTCAATGGACCAATAAGAGACCAGGGAGTTTTAATTATTAAAGGGACTGTAAAGGAAAAATGAAAGGGGGTATAGTCTGAAGCCTAAACATTTTAGGAGTTGATCAAGACCAATATGAGTTCCTCTTTCTAGAAATTGATTTAAAACTGTGTCAAAATGATACGAAAAATTTATATATATAAAATTTTGTATTAAAATCGTCATGTTCAGCATGTACGCAACCAGTCTGAAAACGACGATATCCCAGAGGAGCTAGGTGCAGTATCTTTGTCACGTGTCTCCGTCTGTATCACGTTACAATGATACTGCACTGCCATGCATTGGTGGGAGTTCTAGTCACGTTATACGGACGTATTTATTATATTATCAATTATATCTATAAAAAATGAAAAATTATAAAATTCAAATAATAATAGGAGCAAACCTAAGTTTTAAGGCCCCTCTGGGATATCGCCGATTTAGATTGGTTGCGTATTTGCTGAACATGAACGGTTTAAACCAACGATTTTAATACAAAATTTTATATATATAAATTTTCGTATAAAATTTTATATATATAAATTTTCGTATAAAGACACAGTTTTATATCAATTTCTCGAGACAAGAACATCAGATCCATTAAATCCTAAAATGTTTAGGTTTCAGTCTATACCCCCTTTAATTCCTTTACAGTCCCTTTAAACTAGATTTTTGTTCTGTTCCCATCGAATTCGTATCCTAAGCAATGCTTCAAAAGTGAAGTTAATTTTTATTTAGTCTTTTCTTGATTTTATATATTATTCTGAACATTTTTCTAAAATTTTTAAGGACTTTTTGTCCTTTTTAGACCAAAAAACAAAACATTTTTGAAATATGAAGTATAAAAATAGCTTATTTACTTAACTGTTCTAAGATGAAATTATGATTTGTTTTAGAAACAAAATGAATCAGTTCGTTCAAGCTAGTCCACTTTTTAAATAATAGTTCATCTCCTTGGACCAGAATACCAGCTGAAAAGTGGATCTTCCAGTAGAGTCCAGCCATAATATGAGCTGGACTCTACTCTGTATGGGATAAGCAGACGGAACTTTATTGAAATGTTAAGAATATTTCAAGTATCTTTGTCGACCAGTTTCCTCAATTTTCTGTATTTTCTCTGTGATAATTTATTATAAGAAAATTTAATTTTGTTAGATTAGTACTTCTTACTATGGACTAATAATTTGCAAATTCAGCCAGAGGGTCTCAGAACAAGTGTTAAAGGGTGTCCCAACAAGAATTATTAAAGATGTCCCATTTTATATTTTAAAAGGGGTTCAATTCATGCAAAATTTATAAAGGATGTCTTTGGAAAAAGAAAAGTGGCCCAGAATACATAATCAAGGATGTCTTCGATACAAGATACATAAACTTGCATTTATTATGGGTTAGATGAAATCAACTTTAAGTTTCAACCTTTTTTTTAACACCATGAACTGCAATACACCAAGATTAATATCTCACTTATTTTGTCATGAAAACCATATTTAATAGAAATTTAATGATAACTTATATTTTGATTTTTTCACTTATTTATATTCTTTATAAAGGTATATTTGTACTGATCCTTAATTTTCCTAACAATACTGTATTCCAACAAGTGTAGCATGTACTGTACTGTGTTACAGATAAAAATGCATAGAGGGCGAGGTGGTGGCCCAGCTTGGGGTCAACAGAACCCCTGGAGCGGATATGGATATAATGGTCCTCCTCCTCCGGGTTGGGGAGGTGGTCCACCGGGATGGGCGGGACCAGGAGTTCCTGGGTGGGGTGGTGGTCCAGGATTTGGTCCTAGAGGACCCTGGATGGGACCTAGGATGGGTGGGCCGGGGCCGGCGGCGTTTGGAAATTGGAATCAGGAGTTTCCGCCGCTAGGGGGTCCGCCAGGGGAGGTGGAGGCACCCCCGGGAGAGGAAGCGGTTCCTGTTCCTGGTCAGGAACCTGGGATACCAGGGGAGGAGGGTGGTGCAGGTGCACCGGCACCTGTACAAGGGTTTGATCAGGATCAAATTGTGGAGGGATATGGAGGTGGAATGTGGGGTGGATATGAGGAAGGGTATGGGGAAGGGTATGGGGGCGGTGCTCCCCCTGGATTTGGAGGGCCCGGATTCGGGGGTGCAGGGTATGGTGCGGGAGCTTGGGGTGGGAACGCTGGGTATGGGTATCAAGGGTTCAACAATCAAGGTAAGAAGAAGAATAAGAACAAGAACAAGGAGGCTGCTACTCCTGTTAAGCCTACAGAAGCAGCTAAACCTCCTGCTAACACTTCTCCTAATGTAACACCTTCTAAAAAAGTAGAAGAGGTTAAATCTCTAAATCCTGAGGACTGGCCTCCAGCCTTGAAAGCCTATGTATCCCGGTGTTTTGAACAGTGTATGACTGATGTAGACAAGGATCAGGTTCAGATTATCCTGAAAGGAAAAATAACTGCAGCGGCCAGCTCGAACACACTCTGGACAAAGAACTGGGAGGAAGAAGCTCTACCCTCTACCCTAAGCTCTAAGCTCTCATCACACCTCGGAGATACGTCCAGTCGAGGGAAGGTTTTTCGGGGTGGAGCACGGGGGCGAGGAGCTCTCTTGGCTAGAACAGGACGGAAAGATATATTTAATAAGAAGAAGGAAAATGATGTTAAACAGCCCGACTTTGGTCGGAATCCAAACATGGTTCCAATTGGTAAAGGTGGGAAAAGAGAAAAAGTCCCATATTTCTATACTAACCCTCTGCAAATGGAATTGGAGGGTGATATTGGCGGATCAGCTAAGAAGATGAAAAGAGCGGCAAGGTTCGCCGGAGAATCCCCTCCCCCTGCCCGGAGAAAAACCTTGAACTTGGCGTCGTTAAACGACAAGTTGTTGAAGACGGATGAGAGTTGGGAGGACAGGGATGGGATTGACTGGGAGCAAATGCATATTGTTGGAACATGTACAAAGTTGGAGAAACAGTTCCTTAGACTCACAGAAGCTCCTGAAGCTCACAAGGTAGGTTCCTGTTGGGCAAACTCATGGAGGCACATTTATACCAAAAGATTATTTTCTCCGATTTAATTTTAAGAAGTTGTAAACACCTATTTTGAGCTTTCTTGACAAATATATGTTTGGGGGACAAGATTTTATTAAAAGCCTCATAAATTAATGCTCACTTCCATTTCATACAAGACTCTTGTTGCCTTAAAATATTATCTTTATTATGTAAAAATTAATCAAGTGCTTTCCTGTAGGATTACTAAGGGGGAGGGGAAGGAATTTATTCAAGTAATATCATATCCACTAGCCCTACCTCATATCCACTAGCCCTACCTCATATCCACTAGCCCTACCTCATATCCACTAGCCCTACCTTATATCCACTAGCCCTACCTCATATCCACTAGCCCTACCTTAGCTCAAACTCAGGATTTACAGATCTTTGAAAAGTTTTATATATCCAAAATGAATCCGAATGAAGTTTTCTACGACACTGCATACTTAGTTCAACTACCTTACATAGCCGGTCACTCCCTTTAATTTAAGTATTATTTGAGCACTTAATCAGTTTAAAAATTTGAAAGCAGACGTGGTTTTCTTTGAAAAGATAAATATTTAAAGGGTATTAGTGTGATATTTTTTCAAAGAGTGATGTTTTTTAAACTGGTTCAAGAAGTCATTTCAGCTGATTTAGGTTTATGAGACGCATGCGCGAGTAGCTCTTGAGAAGGGAGATTTTACCGAGTTTAACCAGTGTCAGTCCCAGCTGAAGATGCTGTACCAGGAGGTTGGGGGAGAGAACAGGCTTGAGTTCACGGCATACAGGATCCTTTACTATATGTACACAATGGAGGTCTTAGGTAAATCCATTCATTCATCTTTTGAAAATTAATTAGTATATTTTTATAATATCTTCAAAGCGGACTTTAAGATTTTCTTAAAAGGAAGATCTCTAGCAAATAAATACTTTTTTAAAATTCTTGATTTAATTTATTGCTTTTATTTAGATATAATGTCTGCGCTGGCTTCTTTGAGTGCGGAGGAGAAAAAGGATGAATGTATTCGTCATGTGATTCAGCTCAGAGACTCCTGGAGTCAAGGAAACTATGTCAGGTAGGTTTTCAAAGGATCTAACAGACTCCGGGAGTCAAAAAAAATATGTCAGGTAGGGTTTCAAGGGATCTAAGAGACTCCTAGAGTCTAGAAAACTAAGTCAGGTAGGTAAGAGACTCTTGGAGTCGAGGAAATTATGTCAGGTAGGTCTTAAAAGGAGCTCAGAGACTCCTGGAGTTCAGGAAACTATGTCAGGTAGGTCTTAAAAGGAACTCAAACTCCTGGAGTCAAGGAGACTATGTCAGGTAGGTCTTAAAAGGAACTCAGACTACTGGAGTCAAGGAGACTATGTCAGGTAGGTCTTAAAAGGAACTCAGACTCCTGGAGTCAAGGAGACTATGTCAGGTAGGTCTTAAAAGGAACTCAGACTCCTGGAGTCAAGGAGACTATGTCAGGTAGGTCTTAAAAGGAGCTCATAGACTCCTGGAGTTCAGGAAACTATGTCAGGTAGGTCTTAAAAGGAACTCAGAGACTCCTGGAGCAAAGGAAACTATGTCATGTAGGTCTTCAAAGGAGCTAAGAGACTCCTGGAGTCTAGGAGACTATGTCAGGTAGGCCATAAAAGGAACTCAGACTCCTGGAGTCAAGGAGACTATGTCAGGTAGGTCTTAAAAGGAACTCAGACTCCTGGAGTCTAGGAGACTATGTCAGGTAGGTCTTAAAAGGAGCTCAGACTCCTGGAGTCAAGGAGACTATGTCAGGTAGGTCTTAAAAGGAACTCAGACTCCTGGAGTCAAGGAGACTATGTCAGGTAGGTCTTAAAAGGAGCTCATAGACTCCTGGAGTTCAGGAAACTATGTCAGGTAGGTCTTAAAAGGAACTCAAACTCCTGGAGTCAAGGAGACTATGTCAGGTAGGTCTTAAAAGGAACTCAAACTCCTGGAGTCTAGGAGACTATGTCAGGTAGGTCTTAAAAGGAGCTCAGACTCCTGGAGTCAAGGAGACTATGTCAGGTAGGTCTTAAAAGGAACTCAAACTCCTGGAGTCAAGGAGACTATGTCAGGAAGGTCTTAAAAGGAACTCAGACTCCTGGAGTCAAGGAGACTATGTCAGGTAGGTCTTAAAAGGAACTCAGACTACTGGAGTCAAGGAGACTATGTCAGGTAGGTCTCCTGGAGTCAAGGAGACTATGTCAGGTAGGTCTTAAAAGGAACTCAGACTCCTGGAGTCAAGGAGACTATGTCAGGTAGGTCTTAAAAGGAGCTAAGAGACTCCTGGAGTCAAGGAGACTATGTCAGGTAGGTCTTAAAAGGAACTCAGACTACTGGAGTCAAGGAGACTATGTCAGGTAGGTAATGAAAGGAGCTCAGAGACTCCTGGAGTAAAAAATACAACTTTTATTGTAAGTTCGTTTGAAATTAATATATGCAAGTTCTTGAATAACAGAAGAGAGGCACATCATCTTCAATTGAATATTAGTAAAAGGTTATAAAAATTTCTAAATGTTTTTTTATTTTGGAAAATTTAATCAAATTAGGCTTTAAATTGCCTTCATACATAGACCAAAATTTATTAAGCATTAAATAATTCTCATATAGAGCACTATTAAATACTGATAAGTACATCTATTATGTAATAACAAAAAATCCGAAGTCTTGATTTATAAAACCTTGATTAAAAAAGGATAAACACATCCTTTTTATAACTGAATCAATACATGACCCAAGTGTAGATATTCTAGCAGATCGTATCATAAAATCATTCATTAGTGTATTGCTTCATTATCAACCATTATATCTTATAATACTTATCCTGCATCGATAACCAAGAGGGCAGTCGCTGGTTAGTGTCTATTATAAAAGCGAAAGTGCTTAAGACTCTAGCTAGTGGCTGATATTGATAATCTTGCACAATGTCGGATGTGGATGTCCGGTGTAGTGGTTTAATTTTATCATCTATAAACGAATCTAATCCTTAACTATCATCTGGTTTATAATGACCTAAAAATCCGGGAGAAGTACCAAAATCAGAGCAAATATAGAACCATTCTTTCTACCTAAAAGCTATAAGACCTTTCTCCATACATAACTTAGATTAATCATATCAAGTTTGGGGAGTGAAAGATGGACACCCTGATTTGATTTGTATTTAAGGTTCTTCAAGCTGTACAGTACTGCACCTAAGATGTCCGGTTACCTCCTGGACTGGTTTATTGAGCGGGAACGTAAACGCGCGCTCACAACTATAATCAAAGCGTATGTTTTTGTTAGTTTTAATTTCATTCATTTTTTATCGATATTTTAAAAACTTAATTTTTTGAAATATTTAAATAAAATTATTCTAATCAGTTTTAGGAATAGGCTGAAGGTAACATTAATACTAAATAATTAACATTTTAACTCTTATGTTTGAATCTCATTTTAGCATAGTAATAATTTAACTCAGGTAGACAATAATATGCCTTTTTAGCATAAAATTTCATTACACCGTCCATTCAGTTTTATCCCACATTGAAAACAAAGCTTTTTTACAATACAAGTTACAAGTTTTTAACAAAAATATTTTATTGACAATTTTACTTTTTAGCTTATTCAATTTTTTTTATCTTAAGAAAATGTAGCAGGCTTTGACGAAAGTTACGGATTTAAAATTAATTTTCTTTGTTCAGATATCGGGTTGGGATCCCTGTAGAAAATGTGATGAAGTCTATATCATGTAGTAAAGCGGACTGGAGTAAATTCATCGAACCCTACCCTCTCTCCTTCACGGACAAGAAGAAGGACGTTCTGGACTGCAAGACGAGTATGGGAGCCTTGCCTCTCACAAAAGCAACGTAGTGGGACTCTGACCAATCAATCAATCAATATTTGGTTTTCATCAATATCTTCCGATAGTCTTGACGCATCGAACCCATTCGAAGATCATCACTTCAATCATCAACCTTTTTATTATTTATGAGTAGGTTCTGCCCATTCATTTCAACACCATTCAAGTCATTTATTCAAGTTGTCAGCTAAATTATAATTATCTTGTTCATCAGCATGCTCAATTCCTTCTATTCAACCAGTAAAGGCGCGGTCTTGCAGTACCTGGAACATCTCAAAAGAATCCACGACATGGGACACCGCTGTTTTTCCAAGACCTGCGTAAATCAAATAAGCTTCGGCGTCCTAACATTAATGTTAATTAGGTGTATCTGTCATTGCTGACAATATCTTGAAGATACCTCAACATGTGACGGTATTAGACTCCCTCAAGATAATTCATGGTGGTCGGAGAATCATACTCAGCGAACCCTGATTTTGTTCTACAAATGGAATTCCTTTAACGACAGTTCCTTCCCCCCTTTCCCCTGTCTGTTCCTTTTCCCTTTCCATTTGTAGATTTCAGGGTTTCTTATCTCCGGCCCAGATGGAGGTCGGATTAATGAATTAATGAAGGAGGGACGACATGTCCCCCAGCCCGTACTAATTAATTAAACCTATATAATTTATCTTTAGGTGTAATTTTTCTAAATTAAACTTAATGAAATGTACTCTGCTTGTTCTAGGTACCAGAATCCATAGGAAGAGAAAAATAAAATGTTTGAATTGTTTAATTTTGTTTTTATTTGTGTGTTTTGCTTTGTCCACACCTAAATGCCACATTTTCAAAAATAATCGGGTTTAACCTCTAAATGTATTAAAAAAACACTGTTATTAATAGATCACATGTCAATAAAGACATGATACGATTTACAAATCTTTAAACAAGCGGATAACAGATTTAACAAAGCTGGAATAAGCTCTACGACCGATTCTTCTTACCGCGTGTTTTTAAAATGTGTCAACCCGAAAAAGATTTTTTTTACCAAAATGTTGCCTTTTTTATCCTCTTCACTTGAAACCAATATTTTATGTTAGTAAGATTATATTATACTATATGGAAGACATGGTTCTGATATTGGTAGGCTTCCGGAGAAGTAGGTTTCGGATCTGTTAATTCCCAGCTCGTGATTGAAACAAAGATATGGACTGAGTTCTTGGTTTAACTTAATATATAGGTAACCAAGGTCTGTAATTTGACTGCTTAAATAATACCGTAATACTGGTAATAAATTTAAAGAATTTTTATTTTTAATAAAGGATTGCCCATAAAGGATAGAGACGACTGTGCGGAATTAATACTTTCTGCTTTATATTCATGATTCCCTGAAAGAATGTGTTTCTTCTTTGCTAAATCATTTAACAAGGTAGATAATAGAAAACTTGTAAGGCAGAAAACTTAACCTTGGATTCGCTATTTTTACATTCTTGGTGTGTAACCAAGGAGTATGAAATAGAAGGGAGACAACTGACGCGTCTCGCCCTATCATATGATCATACATGCTTTGCAGACGGGTACTTTATTTTAATAAGAAATAACCTCTTAACCGCGTCAGTTATATCTTCGTTTTATTTCTTACTCCTTGTGTGTAACCCTGTAGATAACATATTGTTGTTGATTTAGATTTTAGTACGGCATTTCTCCTGCTACATTAAATTTGAAAAGGAAATGGATTTTAGTACAGCATTTCTGCTACATTAAATTTGAAAAGGAAATGGATTTTAATACAGCATTTCTCCTGCTATATATTAAATTTTGAAAGGAAATTGATTTTAATACAGCATTTCTTCTGCTACATTAAATTAAAAGGAAATGAATTTTTGTGCAGACAAGTTCGGTAAACCTTACACACACTCTTTAGGTACAGACACACAACATAACTACAGTCAAGGAAATTGCAGATCAATGTCGTCAATTTTAATTAAGCTTGACTAACGAGTAGTTTATTGTAAACTTTACAGTTTTATTGATATTGGTAAGAAGACAGGTTCAGTAGAAATAGGAATGGGCATTTTTGACATTTTTAAAAACGATCGTTTCGGTTTTACAACGATAAAAAAAATGTGAGAACAAACCGAAGATTTTAAAAACGATCGTTTTTGAAAATAATCATTTTTGAAATGGATGAAACTAAGTTATGATCGTTTTAAGAATAAAAACGAATCAAAGATCCTTTTCAAAACGATCGTTCCGGAAAACAATAGTTATCAAAACTATCGGTTTGAAACTGCAGGCGTTAAAACTGCAAAAAATAAAAATATTTGATGAGGTAGACAAATACACTGAACACTTTTACCTTTTGCTGTAGTAAAAGCACATTTTAAGGATCAGCTTAATTTTTAACCATAAAAGACCCAATTGATTATATGTGTTTCAGAGATTTAAATATCCTGGTAACCCCCCCCCCCCTGTATTTGGCAATAAAAATATTCTAGTTGGTTTTATAGTTGGGGGTATTGGAAATCTTCATATCTGGTGAAGAAAAGAATATTTTCATCCCTTGCATGGAGGAAATTTATATGAGATTAAAGATTCATAAGTCATAACTAAATATAAAAATTTTAGTTTAAACCACTTTTCAAAAAATACAAATTATGAAAGAATTGTTATCCCTGCACATGTGTAAGCTATACGTACCCCACACATGTATACATGTTACAAGATACTAGTAGAACTACACGGTTACCTATATAAAATACATGTTACAAGATACTAGTAGAACTACACGGTTACCTATATAAAAGTTAATCATTAAAAAACTATAATATTCAAGATAGAAAATAAAATAAACGAATTTTTGTCATCAATTTTTTAATCGCTGTATCTTTGCAACCCTATGCATGTCGAGTCTTTGCATGACATTAAAGCTATTACATCTATTAATTTTGTTAGATCAAAGTCATGATATATCAAAGGTTTGCACATTGTGGGTGATCAAGACTCAAGATACAGTTCCTTATTATTATTATATTTGGAAAATCATCGTTTGTAAAGTGAAAGGCATAGAGTCTATGTGAAATGATCACTGGTCAATTATGAAACCAGCCTATTTCATAATTTGGTTTTCTTTTAATATTAATTTTAGATTTTCTATAAAATGATGTTCCAGGACTCAAAAGGTTAAATAGCAAAAATATGTGAAGTACACCTGCAGTATGGAAACAGTACAACAAAATGGCCGTTTTACACTTTTTTCTATTAAATTCCACTCTAATATATATTCTGTGCCTGTATAATAACATATATGATATACTGTATGGCCTAGAAATGGTTCTATATTTATCTTTTTTTCAGATAAATGATTAGGATATATGCTGTATGTCATATTTTTTATTCTACTTATAACTGAAAATGAACAGGTGAATTAAATTATATAATAGATGTATGCAAAAGTTATTAATATTTTTTTGCGTTAAAATTAAAGCTGAATGTTATATGTTGATTTTATTGGCTTATTGCTTTTAAGTTGTGATAAAATAAAAAAAGCTTTATTATAAACTTCTAAACGTTTTTATTTTTTTAATTAATTAATACCATTGTAGTAAATGCCCCACTCGATTTTGCCACCAGAGCAGAAAACTTATCCAAAAATGGTTTGACTATTTCCTCTTTCAACTTTTCATCTTGGTGTAAGATCTCCTTTTTATCTGCCTTGAAGTTTTCAGGAATAAATGTCTTCTTACTCTCTTCTGTAGGATAATTTGGTTCTCTAATACATCATTTATCTTTTCTTTTAATGTTTTATCTACGTTCTCTTAGGTACACGACTTGTCTACTGCTTGATAACTTATTATTTTCTCCTGAAATACTAGTTCTTGACCTGGTTCCAGTTCCTCTGGTTTCATGGATTTCTTGAAGTTCTCGTATTCTAGTTTTCTTTCTCTCTGAATCATCATGTAACTATCGAAAATGTTTCTAAAATCAGCATAATTCTTTATAATTTCTGCTAATTACCTGGTTCTTGCTATTCTGGTAGCCTGGCTTCTTCGAAGTTCCTGTACCCAGTTCTCTTTCTCCAACTTAAGGTATACGGCTAACTTCTTGTTTTGAGCAAGACTCTGTCACTTCTTGTATTACAATTTTCCGTGCTGGGATTTACTGAATGATTCCACCTATTCCACCTGTTGAACGTACCATGTTTAACTTCCATTAACTTTCCGCATGGTTAACTTCATCCAATTCTATGACATTCTCGCTGTTTTTTGTCGTCTCAGAACTATCTATGTTGCTGTTTCTTGTTTCCCACATTTTATCCGCTCTCTTGCTGTTTTCTATCATCTCAAAACTATTGATATATTTAGTTTCTAACTTATGTCTATCAGGAGAGAGATAACTGTTGGTCTTTTCCATCTGGATTTCCATTTGGATTCCTTAAGCATAAAAAACAGGCATGTTTCCTTCAACTCTACATCGTACAGTCCCTTGAGAATTTCGTCCTTAAACTCAACTAGGCTCCTCTTGTTTGGAGCATATACTTGTAATCATAACTCTTCCTTGTCAGCATAATATTCTCTGGTATCTTCACCACTTTCCTGTTTCCTGTCCAGGTATTCCTGTTTCTGTTTCATCTTGTTTGCACGAGCTCTCCATGGTCTCCTCCTCTTCTGTCTGTTTCTTGTCCAGGTATTCCGCCCTCTTGCTCTCATCATATTTTTGTTGTGAGAATCTTTTTATCATTTCTACAAGAACACTCCTGCTTCACATTTCTCAAATGCTGCTCCCAGTTGAAAAAAACGGTAATATCTCTCTTCTAGCTACTCCCGTGATACATGAAACCATTACTTTTATATCTTTATTTGGGATTGTTTCCCAGTCATCGTTAATCAGATGAGTTCCAAGTTTTCACATCATTTCCATCATATTTAAGAGCTCTTTCAATAAAACTCTGTCCTCGGTTGCTTGCCCTGATTCCACTACTCTAACTGTAGATGTTCCATACGTTGTTGTGATTTATCCATCTTCTTGTTCTGCTCTAACATTGTTTTAACTTCTTGAATCTTTTTTAATGCTTTCCATTCTTCAAGTTTCTTTTTATGTTTCCTCCACTCTCTGCAATCGGACTGCCAATTCTTCTTATTGAAGTTTTCCATCTTCTATTGTTTGTTACTCTGGTTCCCTTCATGTTTATTACTCCGTTTCCCTTCATGTTTGTTACTCCGGTTCCCTTCATGTTTGTTACTCCGGTTTCTGATTCTTCACTTGGTTATCTAGGGTACAATTTAAATTGTTTATACAAGCCGTTTTTCTTCATATTCGGTATTTTGATATTTTGATATCCAATGCCTTAGTAAAACTGTCCACTGTTACACTCTAGTACTGTATTGCCCGGCCATTGGGTTAATAAAGCAGACATTTAATAGGACTAGCCGGTGCAACAAGGTTGACGCTGTCAGACTTTAGGTTGAATTTACTTTTACTAAAGGGTCAGGGGTGCGTGTCTGCATCTCTGATAGCAATCCTAACTTGTTGCTATACTTTTACTGTTTACTGTTTCCTCTGACACAGTTTCTCCTATTATCATTTAAATCAGTTAAACTCTTATATTTTTGTTCCTTGGAGTCTGTGGCAGTTAACTAGGATTCCTTAATTCTCGCCGCTGCTACCACTTTTGTAGTAAATTTCATACTCCATAACAGTTTCTCTAACACGTATCTATCCAGGTACAACTCAGATTCTCTTAACTATCATTGTCAACACACGGCCACAATCCCGTGAATTATCAACGTCACTACCACTTGGCACAATCTCGTTAGCTATTGATGTCAACAAGGACACTCGCAATTAATCGATCAATGCCTCAACCAGGACACGATCCACATGGCTACAATCCTGTGACTTATAAACACCATTACCAACGGCCGCGATCGTTAACCTGTTTATCTAAACAGGAAACGATTACTCTCTCTCAGTAAACAGTACTGAGTTTCTATATCAACTAACTGTATTTCTTATTTAGATTAGAATTGGTTCTTAACAGCGTCATTACAAGTTATGCGCTGTTATATATAACGTAGTTAAGGAATCAATTAAAGTAATTAAAGAGAAGCTTTTTTAATAGAGAGCTCCTCTAGACTTCTATGTTTATGTGTATTCATTCTGTTTAACAGCTTGATATCAATCAAAATTGAAACCGAAAGTCGTCTTCATTGTATTGATATAACCGCTTACTACTGTATATATTCCTGTTCAGTCTCTACCTACTGGTGTATATGGTTGGATCTGTGATCAGCTATGGAACAATGGACAAGAACAATGAAGATTATGATGTTGGAACAAGGAATTCAAAAAATATAAAAGACTAGGAAACCTAACTTTGCTTGGATATCTAAACTATTTTTAAACCAAGCTTAGAACATTCCCGTGATTCTACCAAGTTCTTCAATACAAGTTTGATGCAAATCAATCAAGGGATTTATCAATTTTCATCAGCCAACAGACAGCTTAACAGAGATTACTACTTTATATATACTTTATTTTCCCCTTTAAACTCACCTACGGATAACAGAATAACCAATTTACAAAGGCCCTTTGTGGCAACTCGCCTGGCCCCAGGGATGGTTTACGAATTTTAAGATAAGCAATTTTGCACGGAAAAAAATCCAACATCTGTTATTTTTAAAACGCACAAAGTTAACTAGAAAAATCCGTGAAATACGATTTACAAAGAAAAAGGGTGTCTGAAGATCAACCGTTAACATTTAGAATTGTTACTAGAAAAAGGACTAAAAGCCTATTCCTGCTTGAAAATGCAGTTCACATTTTTGCAAACAAAAAGTATATCTTCTGGTATCTATAAGTTAAACATAAAAAATCTGTTTGAACACATGGAGATCAATGGAATGTTCTTGTTTCTTTAAAGTTTTAAACATATATTTTTTAATATTTTTGTAGAGAGAAGAATTTCGAAGAGTTGTACAAAGAAGGTCGACAGCATTATTTAGATAATAATTTTCAGGTCATTTTTCCCCCTTACATTAAGCTATAACTTTTAATTTGGCTTGACTCTTGGATTGTTTTTTTAATCTGTTGTTATCAATCAGGCACGAAGGAGGTAAATTTTTGTCAACAACTCAACCTTTGCAACCTGATTCGACTATGTGAGCTTACAGAATTTACAGTTTAAAATATCTGTGGATTGGGTTGCAAATATATGATGATATGATTTGAGTTTGGCAAAAAAACTAAAATTTCTTTGTTAATGTAATCAAGGCTGTAAAGTATTTTCTTATATGATCACCGAAATAAATGCTAAATTGTGAAATTAAACATTAGAGGATATTTGAACAAAAAAAGAAAAACTTCAACCCGACATTATAATTTTTATAAGAAAATACACCTAACATCCTACATCAGTCCTTCAGAGAAAAATGTGATCCTCCTCTTTGCTTATGATTGCAAATTCTATTCAACTCAAAAACCATGCGTCAAATTAAAGTACAAAATTCAATATTTTATTTCAATCATAATTCTCCTTTTTTTTAAAGGGCTTTCGAGAAAAAAAAAAAAAATGAATTTCATAGAGGCAACCAAATAAATCTATTTATTTTGAGTTTCTAAACGTCATCACAAAGTTGTAACACGTAAATTTGAACTTTTCCTTATCTCTATGTTGGAATGAGACACTCTCTGTATTTGTCCAGAATTGCACCAGACCAGTTTTATGCTGTCAATTATCATTATTGGACAGCTAGAGCCTAGAGATGCATCTGCTAAAATGCAATGTTTGCAATGTAATTTTAAAATTTAAAATGTAAAAAGACTTAATCGTCACATCTGAACAAATTTCTGAATCTGAAAAAAACTCAAAATATTGAGTTTTTTGCTTAATTGGGAAAATTTCTTGAAGTAAGAATATGGGAGGAGGGGTGGGGGTAGGGTGCAAGTTCCCCCTTCAAATTGTTTAACCCCTGGATTGAACCCCTAAAATTGGATGAAGCCTGATCTAGGATCTGAAGATGGAATATAGATTAAATTGTAAAGAATGGAAGAGAACCCTGGACAGCTCAGGATAGATTTAGACGGCTCATCGTGCTTTATACCCGGAGCTGGGAGGAAATATTACAATCTCAGAGGATGAATTTTTACAGAGACTAAATACCTATTTATAAACTTTATATAGTACTAGCGTTGGAACCCAGCTTTGCCTGGAAACTAAAATTTTGTTATAAAAGTCAACACAATACACATAGAATAGTTAAATCAAGCTATGAACGTTCCAGTTAGATCAAGCTATGAACCCAATACACATAAAATAGTTAGATCAAGCTATGAACCCAATACACATAGAATAGTTAAATCAAGCTATGAACCCAATACACATAGAATAGTTAGATCAAGCTATGAAC